AAAAAGAGAATTTTTCTAGATTGTTTTTCGGTAGTATAGTTGTATAACTGCTCCTTCCTAACTGCGTATGCTCAAAAGGAAAGAGATATTAGGCAATTAGCCAACTCTTTGGAGTCGGCCAGCATTAGCGGTTTGCGTGGTATAGTAGGTACAACCTAAAAGACCATTCACTATTATAGCTCACTTTGTTATTTCTTGTCTGCAGCAGTCGGAAGGAAATTCCCCTAACATAGTGCTTATTGATGAAAAAAAAACCTCCCAACATTTTTTAGGGTTTTCATCACATATTGATAGCACTATCTAATATATTCTACAAGCAATAAATCTGATCAACAACCAAATATTCACATTGTTGAGCGGTTTTCATCTTTTGACCCGCTTTGACCATCCCCTCCTCCCAGCCCAATCCCCAATATGATCTTCCTCCCCCTCGCTCTACGGTTTCTTGAAAAAAATGAGCTTGATCTTGGTCTACAATGTGCATCACATTCTATTTGAGTAGTTGAGCTTCCCATATAGTCGATTATCAATTCAACCATCAATTTTTGAATTTTAGACCAAATTGTTCTGGTAGGACCACGTGGAGGAGGAACGGGACAGTATGAGTATGTTATCCTGTCCAACTGGGCACGTTATCCGCTGATAGGACTGGTACGCGACACTCGCGTTTTTCACAACAGATACAAGGAACAATTAGAATCCGAGTTAGAAAAGGAAGGATTTATCAACGATTATTCAGGGTATGCTGTTAAACTCTTTGATAGAACTTTCATATCTGCCTCTACTAAACTCTTTGATAGAACTTTCATATCTGCCTCTACTCGATTGAGGATTTATCGCCCGATCGTCTTAAGGCGTCAACTTTTTCAAAAACATGATATTGACGGCTACTCATAATTTCAAACATTTGAGAGAATGCGTTGCTCTAGCAATTCTTATCCTTGGTTTCCAGTCAATTAAGTTCTGTAATCTATAATTCTCAGAAGTTGTTACATAGCGTAAAAGGGTATCCTTACACCTTTTTGGCGGCCCCAAAGATCTCTTTTTGCGAAGTTCATTCTGTGAGTTTGACATTCCGCTATAAAGCAAATCTTACCAATCCCACGTTCAAGTGTCCTTTAATCTTGACATCCATTGTGTCATCGTGCAAGCTAATACATATCCATTCCGTACAATAACGTCTTACTGTAGGTTGATTAGGTGATGGAGACATCAGTTATAGATTTGCTAAGTGGTTAAGAGGGGCTATTCGTGTTAATCACTGAAATTATTTAGATTCTACAGGGACCGCGTGTTCTCAAAAACTGACACTGTCTATGCTAATGTTGATTACAAATATCATATACATTCCGAACAAGCGCCTAAGCGCCACGCCGTAGCCTTACGGTGAGGTTTTATCGTTCAGAATGGATA